TTAAATTACAATTAAATTTTGTCACATATATCATACAAATCTTATTTCTTTTTAAACTTATATATTTTTATTTATCAAGTAGATTATAAAAATCAATGTATATATCAAGATTGTTCTACAATGTGTAAAACTTTTTTAGTTCAAATAGACTTAAATTTACATACCTAAATCGTTATAGATTACAATATTTTGTCTTTATATAATAAGCGTTTTTGCTCTCTTAATCGTCTCACCAAAAAATTTTAAATTTCGATAATCTCTTCCACGAATTTTATTTAAGCTTTTCATTAGAAAATAATATCAATTATCCTCTTATTCGAGAGATGCGATAGATTACGACGATCTAATTGTAGTATTTTCATTTGCTTCATGTAAATTGGAAACTAAAACATTGTGCATCATTCGCTTCTTGCAAAATTTGGGAATCAATTATGTGAAGAAAAAAATTATTAAATTTTTAATTTTAGTTTGCAACTAAAAATATGAGATTTAATTCGTCACAATTTTAGAAAAATAGATATATGAGTAGATACATGAAAAAGGGAGCAATTGCAAAAATGTCGCTTTTGGTATGTACATTTCAAGAATACCACTTAGGGGTGTCCATTTGCAAAAAATGTCACTAATTATGGATTTTTAAAACCTAAATCTTAAAATTATAAACTCTAAAAAATGTTTTGACCCATAAAACCCCTAAAACCCTCAAAACTAAACCACAATACAACATAATTAACCCAAACATAAATGATATAATAATTTTTTTTTGAAAAAGTAGCATTTTTGAAAAGTGGCACTTGAAAATGGGCATTTTTAAAAATATTTCATGAAAAAGAATAACCTAATTCAATTATGAATAGAAAAAAGCTAATTATTTGGAAATATTTGACAAATTTAAATGAAAGAATAATATAATAAAAAGAGTCAAAACAACTTCATAGCGGTGAGACTTCTCTATTTGTGGTCTTGCACTTTCCAGTTTTGTTTTTGTTTAAGAGATTATAAAATATTTATAAAACTGAAAAATTCATATAGGAAAATGAGTAATTAATTCAATTTAAACAAAAATAGAGTAGTGAAGTAGTAAAAACTAAATTAGTTCATACATGAATAGAAAAAAACTAATTACGTGATAAATTTAGGAATTACTTAGAAATCAAATAAGAAAAACAACCAAAATAAAAAAGTACCCCCTCCGTTTCAAAATCTAAGATGTTTTAGCTAAAAATGCGGAGTTTAAGAAACCACTTTTCTTCTAAAAAGTGTCATTTAATATATATGATAAAAAATAATTTAATCAAACATAAAAAAGACTGCAAAATACTAGTCGTCACACAATATTCAATAAAGTTAAAAAGTACATAGAATTGTCAAAACATCTTATATTTTGAAACAAAAAAAAATCTCTAAAACATCTTATATTTTGAAACAGATGGAGTAATTCTTAAATTATTTTATATCAACATTTTCTGTTTTATTTTTTTTATCTTCATGGGTGATTTATTAACTTTTTTTACTTTTTTGAATTTGATTTTATCACAAACCCGCATATGTATAAATCCTTTACCTAGTGGCTAGTGGTACATAAGATAGATTGTTCCATAAAGTAGATTAATTATGAATTTTATGCATTTTTATTATTTAATGGTAATAGATTGTAGATTTCAAAATTTTTTAACATTTAATGGTTGATAATTTTTTGAAAATTTTTAATTGTAAAAATTAATACATTTATAATGAAACATTATTTGTTTTTTTTTTTAAAATATGTGTGAAACCTTTTTGGAATGGGAGAAAGTAGTATTTATCTCACTTAACAATAAAACGTCACCGTTTCGAAAGTAAGAGAACGAGAAGAAATTTTGGAAAGAAGAAGAAAGACGAAAACAGAAGAACATATACAAAGCAGCTTCTTCTTGTAGAAAGTAGTCTTTTTTCTACAATTCAGCGATATGGCAAATCAGTCCTCTCCATCTCCAATCTATTGTGTTTCCTTCAATCAAGATAACAGGTGAAGCTTTTTATTTTAATGGAAAAATCAAAACGTAACACAGAAGCTGACCTTTTTGATTGGTTGGCTCTTCGATTCTTGCCAGTGGTTTTGCGATAAGTTCGAATGATTCTTTCAAAATATTCGATTCTACTACAGGCAGACTCTGCTATGAACGAGGCAAGTAATAAGATTTCTATGTTCGTTATTGTTCTAAAATTCTGGGTATTATTCATCAAAAAAGACCTAATTTTTGTTTAGGATTGAGACGAATTCTTGTAAATGCAGTAAATTTTAGGTTGGATAGTGTCTAAATATTGAAACATGGTAAAAAGTTTGATTCAATTGGCATAGGATCATCATGATCCAATCCAAGGTTCAGTTTTTTATACTATGGATTGAAGTTGTTTGCTTTTTGTTTCTTTTGTAGCTATTGGGGCTTTTGTTATTGTTGAGATGTTGTATAGCTCAGATCTACTTGCAATTGTTGGAGCTGGTGAACAGGTTTGTGCTTGATATACATTTTGATTTTGTTCGGTGTTCGGATTCGATCTTTGTATGATTTCGGTGAATTTCATGTATAGGCTTCTCTATCCCCACGGCGACTATGTTTATTCAAGACCACAACGGGTTCTCCCCTTAGGGAATTGAACTTTTTAACTTCTATACTCGCTGTTCGTATGAATAAGAAAAGGTTTGTTAGTTACCAAAAAACTTATGATTTTCTGATTGTTTCTTTTGAAAGTGAATTCATGCGTGCTGTGATTAATTCTTATCAGACTTGTTGTTGTGCTGCTAGAGAAAACATTTGTGTACGACTTGAATACTCTTGTCATGCTTGATACTATCGACACCGTGCCAAATCCAAAAGGTAGCTCAGAATGTTTCCTTCGTCAACTTTTATCGTTGCAGTTCGTCGTTGTAAACAAGAATATGTTGTCTATTTTTTAGCAGGTCTCTCTGCGTTCTCTCCATGTCTTGAAGGCTGCTACTTGGCTGTCCCGGCTAGTGCGACGAAAGGATCTGTTTTGGTGTATAACGTCATGGATTTGCAGTCTCACAGTGAGGTTTACTAGATTCTTCACCTAGTTCTGGATCAATCGTTTTTGTTTCTAAGTTGCATACTAACCCAATTATCAACTAACTTAATCGTTTGTTTCACTGTTTGCTAAACTCGGTTACCAGATAGATGCACATCGTTCTCCATTGGCTGCGATTGCCCTCTCTTCTAATGGAATGTACATTGCTACAGCATCTGAGCAAGGAACTTTGATCCGAGTCCATCTTGTTTCAGAAGCAACCAAGGTGAATAATTGCTCTTTCGTGAACATAACTCATTTTGTTTCTCTTGTGTTCTAATGACTACAATTTCTTAGGCGTTTCTTTCTTCTGTTTGCAGTCATATAGTTTCAGGAGAGGAACATACCCATCAACAATATATTCACTCTCTTTTGGACCATCGGAACAGCTTCCGGATATATTGATTGCAACGAGTTCTTCAGGCTCCATTCATGCCTTCTCTTTAAAGTTGGCCATAAACCAAAGGTGAGGAGGAGGACTAAGAATGACACTCTTACTTCCCTTACACTTTGTGAGTTTCCTAATAGTTTTCATTGTCTTCTCAGAAGCAAAAGGTCGACTAGCTTTCTTGGCTCGGTTCTTCCCGATAGCGTGAGCGATGCACTAGATCCAGCGCATCATCATGTGCTTCAAAATGCAGTTTCTTCCGGACTTAGAAGGTGAAAAGATTAGTCTTTTGGACGCTGCTTAAGTTTATTATAACACAATAAGTTTATTGTCTGTTACTTGCTTGTGTTATACAGTTATGCAGTGGTTAGAAAGATAGACAAACTTGAAGAAACATCATCTCCATCTCAGTTTACATCTCTTAGGTAAGATTTTAT